CCCGCAGGGCCCCAGCCTAGGGACCAGCGCTTCCAGCTGGAGGTGCAGAGCTCGGTGGCGGTGCCGGAGGGGCTCTGCGCCCACGTGCCCTGCTCCGTCTCCTACCCCCCGGATGGCTGGGCCGACGCGGACCCCGCGCTGGGCTACTGGTTCCGGGAAGGCGCAGCCAGGGACGCCGCCCCCAGGCCTCCAGTGGCCACCAACGACCCACACCGAGAGGTCGCCAAGGAGACCCGGGGCCGATTCCAGCTCCTCGGCGACCCCCGGACCGGGGGCTGCTCCCTGGTGATCAGAGACGTTCGGAGGGCGGACGCGGGCACCTACTTCTTTCGGGTGGAGCGAGGCTCCTACGTGAGATTTAATTACATCGATTCCAAGCTCTCCCTGGAAGTGACAGGTACGGCGCGCGGCCGGGCTGGGGAGGGACTGTGGGGCCAGGCCACGACTCGGCGGCTCCAACGCCCCTCGCCCCCCCAGACCGGAGGCAGGTCCCTGATGTCTACATGCCCGAGGCCCTGGAGCCCGGCCGCCCGGCCACGCTGCTCTGTGTGTTCCACTGGGCCTTCGAGGGCTGTCCGGCCCCCACGTTCTCCTGGAGGGGGGCGGCCGCCGACGGCCGAGCAGCCGGGCCGCGAACCTCCCACGTCTTGTCTGAGCTCACCTTCACGCCGAGGGCCCAGGACCACGGCACCGAGCTCACCTGTCGCGTGGACTTCTCCGGAACCCGCGTCAGCGCAGAGAGGACCGTCCGACTGAATGTGGCCCGTGAGTCTGGGGGCAGGACTCTGCAGTGTGGGGACAGGCCAAGGGGGTGCGAAGTCGCCGTGGCAACCAGCAGCCCCAGCTCTCCCAGCCCAGGGGCAGAGACCGCCCAGGAAGCTGGCTTGGCCCTGGGACGTGCCTGGGATGGATCTGTGGTGTGCTGTCCCTGGTCCTCCCGGGGACACTGTCTCCCGCGGTGCTCCCTCTGACGGGGCTCACTATCTCTTGTTGCAGACGCCCCTAAGGACCTGGTCATCAACGTTTCCTGGGCCAAGACATCAGATCCTGGTGTGTGCGGGGGGACGCGATTTGAGTGGGGCAGAGCCAGTCCATTTGAGGGAACAAAAAGGTTTCGGAGATGAGCCAGGAAAGTGACCCTAACCTGCAGCCCCCCCACTCTCTCTCCAGCGCCCCAGGGAAACAACTCATGTCTGCAAGTCTGGAGAGGCCAGTTCCTGCGGCTGTCCTGTGAGGCCGACGGCCAGCCCCCGGCCACGCTGGGCTGGGTCCTGAACGACAGGGTGCTCGCCAGGTCCCCGCCCTCGGGGTCCAGAACCCTGGAACTGGAGCTGCCTCGGGTGGGGCCCGGGGACGGAGGGCGCTACACCTGCCGCGCAGAGAACAGGCTGGGCTCCCTGCAGGCCTGGCTGGACCTCTCTGTGCAGTGTGAGTGCGGGTCCCAGAGCTGGAGGGGCAGCGGCCGCAGGGGTCCTCTCTGCGGCTCGGCAGCCCCGGGAGGGCCCCCTCTGCCCCCAGGGGAGCCCCTGCCACCTTGAGCCAGGCCTCTGCCTCTGTTTCAGACCCTCCAGAGAACCTGCGAGTGACCGTGTCCCAAGCAAACAGGACAGGTACGGAGAGAGAGGACCACACTGTGGGCCTGGTGTCAGGAACGTGGGCGTGAAGTAGAGTCCCCGGGCCTCCAGGTCCATCTTGCTTCTCCCCACCCCCCAGCAGTCCTGGAAAACTTCGAGAGCGGCATGTCCGTCTCAGTCCTGGAAGGGGAGTCCCTGCGCCTCGTCTGTGTCGCCGACAGCAACCCCCTGGCGGCGCTGAGCTGGGCCCGGGGCAGGCCCGCCCTGAGCCCCTCGCAGCCCTCGGGTCCCGGGGTCCTGGAGTTGCCTCGGGTTCAGAAGGACGACGAAGGGGAGTTCACCTGCCGAGCTCAGAACTCGCTGGGCTCCGCGAGCATCTCCGTGCGCCTCGTTGTGTTCTGTGAGTGGAGGGCCAGGGGGCGGGCCTTGGGCCCTGGGGGCGGGGCCTCCGCTGAGCCCGCCCCTCCCCTCCCCCACAGACCCACCGCAGCTGCGCGGCCCCGCCTGCTCCTGGGAGGGCGTGGGTCTGCGCTGCGGCTGCTCCGCCCGAGCCTGGCCCGCCCCCTCCGTGCGCTGGCGGGTCGGGGACGAGCTGCTGGAGGCGAACAGCAGCAACGCCTCGGTTACGGTCACCTCCAGCTCGGCCGGGCCCTGGGCCAACAGCTCCCTGCGCCTCCGCGCGGGGCCGGGCTCTATCCTCAGACTCGGCTGTGAGGCCTGGAATGGCCGTCGGAACCAGAGTGTCAGCGTCCTGCTGCTGCCAGGTGGGGGGCCTGAAGGGAGGGATGTGGGGCGTGGACTCAAAGTGACTGTGAGGCTCCACCTCCTGGCTCAGTAGCCACCTGAGCAGGGTCCCCGGGAGGTGTGTGGGGGGAGAGGGTGGAACAGTCCTGGAGCGAGCCCCCTCACGCCTCTCTTCTCTGCAGGGAAATCATCACCTAAGACAGAAATGCTTTTGGGGGCCCTTGTAGGGGTCGGAGCCATGGCCCTGTTCTCGCTTTGCGTGTGTCTCGCCTTCTACTGCATGTAAGTCTTGGTCCTGGGGAGGTACAAAGAGGTGTGCGGTGTGCAGAGAGGGGTCACTGAATCCCAGAAACAGAGCTGAGTAGACCCAGGGGATCTTTTTTTATTATTATTTTATTTAAATAACAGCTTTACCCCCTCTTCCCCGCAAAAAACTGAACCCACTGCCTTCCAGCCGACTCTGACTCATAGCGACCCTCATTGGGTTTCTGAGGGTAAATCTTTAAGGCATTAGATTGCTCCATCTTCCTTCTGCAGAGAAGCTGGTAGTTTTGAACCACCAACCTTCCAGCAAATAAATGCCTTCAGCACTGTGCCACCAGAACTCCTTGGATAGCAGCTTTATTGGGATGTGATTCCCATAAAACCCACTGTCAGGGGGATGATTGCGACTCATCGCAACTCTGTGGGTCAGAGTAGAATTGCCCCATAGGGTTACCAAGGCTGTAAATCTTTACCAAAGCAGATGGCCACATCTCTCTCCCATGGAGGAGGTGGTGGGTTTGAACCCCTGGCCTTTTGGTTACCAGCCAAGCACTTTACCCACTGCACCACTAGGGCTCCTGTAATTCCCATAGAATGCAATTAATCCATTGAAAGTGTAGCTATAATTCAATGGCTTTAGTATATTCACACAGTTGTGCGACCAGAACCACAATCGATTTTAGAACTTTTTCATTAGCTTCAAAAAAATCCCATGCCCTCAACAGTCAGCTCCCTGTTCTCCAGTCCCTCAAAGACCTGCTGTTGGTGTTGTTATGTGCCATCGAGTCAGCCCCGACTCATAGAGACCCCTCCTTGGGTTTCCGAGGCAGTATCACTACGGGAGTAGATTGCCCAGCTTTCCTTC